TTAAAGGCTCCAGCTTTCAAATACTTTATAAGGATTAAGCTTCAACATGAACTTTATAGGGAACAAACATTCAAACCACCTCAGAGAAATTTGCCAGTTTCTTTTTCAGTACCTTGCAGTCTCTTGCTACCTTTGCTGTTTCACTGCAACAAGCTGCTAAGCTTTTTTTTGTTCTCTGCAGCCCTGAGCCATCCAAGGTATGCTGCTTGCATCACTGCTCTTCCGAGTCAGGTGAGGAAGAACCAGTCCTTTGGGCAGCCCCTGAAAAGCCAGAACATGGATACACATTTTGTTCTCCTTTTACCTTTCCAAGGGAGAATCTGCAAGCCTGGTGCTTTCTCCCCTATTGCACCAAGCTTTGTTGGCTTGTGTCTGTGGTAGGGAGGGTACTCTCATGCTGCAAGAAGCTGCTGAGCTCTCTTTTGTTCTCAGTGGCCCCCAGACGTCCAAAGTATGCTGGTTCCCCATTAGTGCTCTGTATTAGGCAAGACAGAAACCATTCTTTTGGGCAGCTTCCCCAAAAGTCAGAATATTAGATATATGTTCTACTATTCTTTTTCCCTCCCAAAGAAGAAATCGTGAGTTGGGCTTTTTCTCTCAATAGCACAGAGCTGTGCTGTTGGACAAGGGGCTGACACCGTTGAAATGAAACAACTTTCCAATGTAGCTGTTCTTGACTGTAAGCTTGCCTGGGATGATGTGACTTTTTAACTGTTTCTAGAGCTCTCAGAATGAGTCTTTTTGAACTTATAGTGTTAAGTTTGTGTCTCTGCGAACAGTGAGGACTGGGCTTCCTGTTCCTTCATTTTGCTGACATCACTCTTTCTAGGTTTTCATTATGGAAAATTTCAAGCATGTTCTAGAGTGGAGAGAGTAGTAAATAGTGAACCCCAATGTATCTGTTATCCAGCTTTATTATTTATCATCATTTTCTCTCACTAGCCTCTCAGCTGTGAGAGTATCATAAGTACTTTAGTATATGTTCCACTCAAAGTCTTTGTCATCATCATCTTTTTAACATAAGCATAATACTTTTATTATCACATGTAGTAAAATTGTCTTTTCTTAATATCATCTAATTGCCCAATTCATATTTATTTCTTCCTGACTAGCACTAAAATGTCTTTTTTTTGTATTTAGTTGATATTTCTCATAAATCTCTTTTAACCTGTAGTAATTCTTCCTCCTACCTCCATCTCCATGCCATGTATATGTTGAGTAAACTGGGTTATCTGTTATGTAGAATTTCTCACATTCTGGATTTGGCTCACCGCATCTTCATGATATTATTTGACATTTCTCCTGTCCCCTGGTAGTATTTCTAGAATGTTTTTCAGTCTCCTATTTACTACAAACTGATAGAGATAGAGGCTTGTTCAGATTCTAGTTATTAGAAGGGAGAGACATTCAGAATCGGAAGAAGACTAGATATGTATGAATTCCCTCAGGAACATTTTTGCCAGTTTAGCAATGATCCTCAAGCTGTAGCTTAGAAAACTCTGGCTATTCCTGTAGACCAGAAAAAAGAATAAAAAGTCTTTTCCTAAAATTCTTCATTTCACTGCTGTTTTGTGTAGAACAAGCCATTTGTCCAGTATTGAGTCACCTTTTCCCCTAAAACCTACATGTACAATACAACATTATTAATAGTAATATTAACAGCTAAAATGTGTTTGCTGTTTACTATGTGCCAGGCACTGTTTTAAGCATTTTTCATGTAGTAACTCATTTAATTCTCATAATCACCTTATAAAACAGCTACCCATATTTTGCAGATGGAGAAAGAGAGGCACGGATATGTTACATAACTTGACTAACATGATGCAATTATAAAGCTTTTAGCTAGTCTATTGCCAGTCTAATCAAATTCCTACTCTGCAAAATTATGGAAAGTGAATCTCTTGATAATCATGCCTAAATTTTAGATATTAAACTTGTTACTTTGTTCAAACCTCCCCCTGCTGCCATAGCATTTTTTATCATAACAGTGTTATCTACATCATATAATTTTGTATATTCTTCTTTCCCCCAAGCTAAGTGAATCATCTCCTCTGCAGTTACCATTTCAGTTATTGTCATTCTTTTAGTAATCAGGCTTAGAACTCTTTCTTGGCCTCTCATATTTATTCTTAGGTCCAGATATTGATCTCTATAAATCTCATGGCTTTATTTCTTCCTTTTACATTGCTTCTACTCTGCGTAATTCTTTATCTTTTCACACTAAACCCTTTAATAGCTTGATTGCATGTCTATTGCTTGTTTTTTTCCCCTCTAATCCATATTTTATATACTTCAGATTAATGTTCCCAAAATAGACTTTTGATTATGTCTATGTCACTCAAATCCATTCTTTGGATTTAATAAGTTTTCTTATCCGTCCTGTCTAGTCTTCTCTATTATCTGCACTCCTGCCTTTGAATCTTTACCTTTGCTTGTGACTTTCCACTTTTCTTACCACTTTTTCTGAAACCTAATCATCCAGCTAGTTAGTTCTTTCTTTTCCTAAATAGTTAAAACATTTTTTATGATAAAATTATATAGGTACAAAATTTTTTTTAAAAATCACAGAGAATGATGGTCAAGGGTTCAGATACCCCTACTGGCCAGCAGCCAAAAAAAAAAAAATTCAAACTGTACAGAAAAGCACCTGCCTCCCCACCCCCAACCCTCCTTCCCCCCCCAAGTGTGAGCACCTTGAGAACAGAGACTCTGTCCAGTTCACAGGTATGAACCTGGTAATAATGATTCCATACTTAGAATGGTGCCTGGCAAATAGAAGGTGTTCACTATATGGTTATCATTGGACTGAAAAGTGAACATTTTTCTTTTCCATTTCACCACCTTCACTCCCTAGTATTGGAGCATTACAGCAGAATAAATGTCAGTCCTTTCTCCCTCTCCTTGGTTCCAATCCAGTGAGTTTGAAACCAAGTAAAATAGATGGGGAATGAAAATGTCAGCTTTAGTTCTGCCAACAGCTGGATTGTAGGCTATAGATTAGATGTGTAACCATAGTGGGCCCTGTAACAAAGTAGAATTAGGCTCCATAAAAAAAAAATTTAAAAACAAACAAAAGAATGTAGGATCCATGAGAGATAGACTTAGTCTGTTTTGTCTCATATCCCCAGCATCCAATTCAATATATATATACTTTTTTTTAAAATACTTTTATTTCATCACATTATTAGTCAGCCTTGCCAACCTGTAGTCACAGGCAAATCTAGGTACGGTAGGTCTCTCCAGTATCTTTAGGTTACCATTATTGAAGTTTTAGAATTTTTAGTTATTTTTGTGATTATCTTTACAGATGTTAGTAATTTACGTAAACATCCAGGATATCTTGATATATCTACTTTGTATAATATTAATTGAAAATCTTCAATTTTCATTACTGAATTAGTACTTCCTTCTACTCTTTCTTTTAGTATTTGTAGATTACACCATCATTTTTATATTGCTCACATTTAAAAAAATATATTGTGTTCAGTAGCAGTGTGTTATGACTGACAAAAAAAGCTGATGACTAACAGCATTTATATTGTAGTGCTGTAATATTGCAATATTAATACTGTAGAACCAAGTAAATTAATATACCTATCCATCTTGTGAAACCCAATTTAGATCTTCCTTCAGTAAGCTAGGGAAACTCAGTGGTTTTATCCTTATGTGAACTTCCATATCATTTGTGGTACTCTCTGTACTTCATTTAGCATTTATATGTGCCTTTTATATTTATAGTTTTATTTTCATGTTAAGTTCCTTAAGAATAATGGTTTATGGTTTTTTTTTTTTATGTCTTGTTATTTCCTACAATGCCTGACATAAACAAACACCTTGAGCATCTTGACATTTAATAAGATAAGTTTGTGGAAAGTCCATCATTTTTGTGCAAAACATTACTTATGTCTTGTTATTTCCTACAATGCCTGACATAAACAAACACCTTGAACATCTTGACATTTAATAAGATAAGTTTGTGGAAAGTCCATCATTTTTGTGCAAAACATTACTAAGTATGAAAACTAAATGTGGTCCTATGTTGCTGTATTAGTCCATTTCTATTGCTTATAACGAAATACCCAAAACTGAGTGATTTATAAAGAAAATGAAATTTATGCTTATAGTTTCAGAGACTGGGAAGTCCAAAGTCCAGGGAACACATCTGTTGAAGGACTTCCTTAGTGATGTCTTTACATCAACGCAGGGGTCTCATATGGCAGAAAATGGCAGAGCAGAGCTCTCATGCCTCTTTCCTTTTAAAGCCCTCAGAACCACATGTATAAACTAGGGCATGGCCCTTACAATCCAGTAACCTTCCTAAGGCCCCACCTTTCAGTCATCACAATAGGATTTCTCCTCCTCTCAACACTGTCAGAGTGGGAGCCAACTTTCTAATACCTAGAACTCTGAGAGACACAGTTTAAGCTTCAGTGAGTTTGGGGGGGACATTCAACCCACAGCAGTTGCCTTTTTTCCTTGTATGTATTTCGTATGACTATATTAATTAGATATTACTCTCTGCTTGCTGTGTACAAGGTAGTTTATTGGGTATTGTATGAGATATAAGAATAAAGCAGACACAAAGCCTGCTTTGAACATTAGCGGCTAGCACAGAAGGTGAGACTAATACGTAAAGCTAATAGTTGCATCAAGAGATATATAATATTCTGAGGGCATCTGGGGTGGAAGAGGTGATGTTTGTCAGGGTCTTGGAAGAGTAATAGTATTGAATGTATGGAAGATTGTAAAAACAAGTGGCTGAGAAATTGTAAACACAATAAATAGTACATTACATCTAGAAAGTGGGTTGTGAAGAGGAAGGATAATAATTGAATGCTGAGGTCAGATTGTAGAGTATAGGAGAGTATATTAGCTAATTTCACCCAAAATGGTATATGTTTAACCCACAGTTCTTTTGTTCAGCAGGTTTACAATAAGCACATTTGTTTGGCCTCATTTTTGTGGTTAAAACTGATTTTTGTTCATTTGTTCTTTTATAGTTTGGAGGCAAACTGGTTACCTTTGAGAATGTCAAACTGCAGCCTCAGCAGGGAGCTGAGCAGCAGCAACTGCACCATGTGTTCATTAGTCAGGTTGTAACAGAAAAGGAATTCCTTAGCCGATCAGACCAACTTCAGCAGGTTGTGCAGTCACAAGGATTTATCAATTACTGCCAGAAAAAAATTGATGCTTCTCAGACTGAGTTTGAGAAAAATGTGTGGTCCTTTTTGAAGGTAAAGTTGGTATTTAAAATTATTTTATTATCTGCAAATTTTATCATTCCCATTATATTTTAAATCTTTCTATTAAAAAGACAGTTGGAAAAGTGTGATTTCAGGAGTTCATAGTGAAATTTAAGAAACCTTATCAAGAGTACATGACCTAACTTCTCAATGTCAAGAGTTCTTCCTTCTCTACTTTGAAAAGCCTGATGTGAAATACTCTTTTAATAAGAGTTTTAAAAACTCTTATTTAAAAAAAACAAACAAAACTGTGTGATAGATGTTTTTAGGAGAGACCTAACATTCAGAATCCTATTTTAAAATTAGAACATAGAGCTTACTTTAATAAAAACAGAATATTTAACATCTATAGCAGATCGAGTTAAGGAAATGGGGAAAGAAGGAAAAGGCATAGGAGAGAGGTTGGAGGCATTTCTCATTCTGTCTTTAAGAGGGATTAGAAGAAAAAACGTCCCTTTTACAGAGCTGCATTTTTGAGAATAGAATAAGAAATAGAATTTCCTGGTTGGTCATTTACCTCCACTGAAATATCTATTTCTTGATACAGTACTGAATTTTATAAGGAAAAGTGATCTTGAATAAAATACAGTTAACTTCTAAAATTGTATAATTTATTTTTATGTTTTGTAATTAAATATTAATTTTGGGAAAGAGTTGTAGAACATAGTATATTCCACATAGTGTGAGTTTTGCATTCCTGTAATCTTTCGACATGAGTTAGTATATATAAAAATTATAGTTTAAAAAATTTATAGTTTTATTCTACTATATATTCAAATTTATAGTTTATAAAAGTTTATACTTTTATTCATCCAGGATAGTTAATCATAATATACTTATTATTAAAAAAATAATTTTTTTGAACTATTCTTTAGATTCTAACAGTGAATATTCAGGATGATATGGTAGGCTTTAGATATTTTTAATAATTCTACTTGGAATTTGATCAACTCTTACAAAAATTAGGCCTTTAAATATTGGTCTTTGTTTCAAGAATATGTCTTTTCTGAAAGGTAAACTTTGAGGATGATTCTCGTGGAAAATACCTTGAACTCCTAGGATACAGAAAAGAAGATCTAGGAAAGAAGGTAAATTTGGGGGAAAGTTAAATGGCTGTCCTTATACAAATAATGTATCTATATATCGTACTTTTAAAAATAAAGCTCTACACATATTATCTCAAATCAGTTAATAAACATTTAATTAGAATTTGTGGTTGGTTGCCAAAGTTTTGAATCCATGTTGTTAAGTGGGAAACTCCACGGTATTCCTGGCTTTAGAAGCTGCCAGAACAACTTTTAATTCAAGCTAGATTGTCAGGCATATTTGAGCCTTAAAAGATGGACACCACGAGCCCTAAACACTGGAAATAACACTGAGATTTTAATAGAGTGTGTAACCAGTGGCCCTAGGGGGAAAGAGAGAAGGAAACTATTAGAGATCATCGCAAGTTCACTACAACTTAAGTGATGAAAACAGAACAACTTTTAATTCAAGCTAGATTGTCAGGCATATTTGAGCCTTAAAAGATGGACACCACGAGCCTTAAACACTGGAAATAACACTGAGATTTTAATAGAGTGTGTAACCAGTGGCCCTAGGAGGAAAGAGAGAAGGAAACTATTAGAGATCATCGCAAGTTCACTACAACTTAAGTGATGAAAAATGGGGTAGTATTTCAAGCTATCACAATTTTCCACCCTATCTGAGTTTATGCCTTTAGCACACAATTCTCAAATTGTGTATTGAATTGGTCCAGCTAACAAGTAACTAGTAAATATTTTGGAACAGGAGTGATTTATTGTACTGAACCTGAATAAACAGAAAGTCCAGGTGATTTGCTTAACAGTTTAACTTTGAAAATAAAAAAAGATTCCCTTTTAAAAGGGAATCATGTTGCGGTTTTATAATGTTTTTCTCAAAGAGGGTCTTAATTATTGTTCCACAGTTTGTTTGTTTTGGTTTGGATTTTGGGGGGTTTTTTGATAGCTGACTGGTACGGGGATCCAAACCCTTGTCCTTGTGTTGTCAGCACCATGCTCTAACCTAGTGAGCATGTGGCCAGCCCTTATTCCACGGTGTTGACATCAACATCAGTAGTAGTAAAAACACCTTGACTTTGGAAATCTTGAAGGTGATATTTTTAGATTCTCTGACTGTATAATTTGTATTAGCACATTGTCATTCTTTGGAAATGACTCAAGTTTTTGATAGTGTTGCAAGGTTGTTGCACACGTGGTACAGGTTGGATACTGCACACTCTAGGCACACATTAAAGATTAGTGTTCTTTTGATGTCAGACCTGGATTCACATCACAGCCCCACTGCTTAGTGGCTGTGTCTTTGCTCACTGCTTTAGAGTTTTTATATTTAACTTTATTGTTAGTCTAAACTTCTTGATGCTTTAACTTTTTTAGGTTTGCAGGAGATTAATATGAAAGTTTTACTGCTTGCCTGATGGCAAAAAATGAGGAAATAGAATCTGACTGTCAAAATACTTCTAATAGCAGTTCTTTCCGTAGCGAGTACTTGAAGAAATATTTTTAAAAATTAATTATAGTTATTTTAGTTAAAGTAGGAAAGAAACTTTGTTTTGAGGTTCGTTTTGTGATTGAATAGCACAGCAGGATGACATCTGAACAATAAAACTCCATATAAATGAAACTAGAACCATTCTGCACAGCTTTTTTCTTTTAACTATACTATCCCTGATAATGAACTTTTGCTAGATTTTTGCTGAGAATAGAGGAAGAGGTAAACATTTGCTCTATGCCCCGAAATAGAATTCCGTTCAGTAAGTGAGTTGTTGTTTTTGTTTCAGATTGCTTTGGCCTTGAATGAAGTGGATGGAGCTGATGTGGTAAGAAGACCTTTAAAAATAGCTACCTTCTAAAATTTTGGTTAGATCGTAGCGAAGAGAGAAATGTAATTTAAGAAATTTGTTTTATGCTTCACAGTATAAAAACACATGCTAATTCTAGATATGTTAATAATTCTCATCTTAAAATAGCATAAGGTTAGCTGGTAGAGCATTCTTTTCTCTTGGCATATTTGAATTTTGTAAAAGGAAAAACTGAATTAATGACCCCTCACATACTTAAGGTAAAGATCTTTTTTGCTGGGGGATATTTGGTAGGAAAGAAAGGGAAGGAAGGTGTTAGCAGTAATTGCTCTTTGCTTTTCATCTAACGGTGTTTCTCAAATAAATTTACTCAGTGTTGCTTCTTATGATTAAACTAGCTCTGAGTGTTGTTGATTGAGTCTTCTGTCTTCCTTGTTCACTAATAACCTTTTAATGCTATATTCTTCAACGTCCTCTATAATTGTTTTGTGTACCAAAGGCTCTTAAAGACTCTGAACAAGTAGCACAGAGTGATGGGGAGGAGAGCCCTGCTGCTGAAGAGCAGCTCTTGGGAGAGGTACTTATTTTTTTTTCATGTTATATTGAACAGATATGTGATATTTGTGTATCTCACATTGAAATATGGAAAAATTTCTTGACTACTTATTGCAAAATAAAGTTGGAGTATATTTTCATAGAGATGTTTAGGGTAGGAGTCTATTTACCTAGACTGACAGAAGTATCATCTCTGAACTCATTAGTTCTCTGACCTACCTTCTGGATTATATGGTTTAAAAGTAAAAGTTGATGTGAGATTGACTTAATTTGGTCAGATGGCTATCAGGATGTCAAATTGAAAAAAGATTTTATTCAGAAATCTGCATGGCATGTAAAGTTAACGTTTTTTCTTGGCGCACAGTTAGGGCCTACTATCACTGTTGTAGGCTTTTGAATTGAAGAATACTATGCCAAACTGATTGTCATGATTTACTATAAAGTTGTTCTTAGTTATAGTTGATAATTTTTGCAACTAATTAAAGAGTCCTTGAACACAGAGACCTTTTTCCTTCTAATTTTCTGGATTTTTTTTAAACAACTGATAAATAATTCTGTAAATTACTTTTTTTTTTTTTTGGCTTACTAATTTTATTTCTTCTTGGAAAATTAATCGGCAAGTTCTTGCTTCTCATCTTTGACTTTTTCATTGTTCTTTGTCATATGGGGATATTCTGACTATGGAATGTTTCCTATAAAATTTTACTAAGTTTATAAAAAGCATTTTCCTCAGAAGTGGATCACCTAGCATTTATTTAACAAGGGAATAAAGGGTATGAATAAAGTCTCACTAAAAATTTGAACTAATTTTGGGAATACCTACATAGAATTGTAGGATACATAAAGAAATGTTGTACTTTCATTTATACACAGCTAGATTAACTATGTGTTATCAAATAGAAGACCATTTGGGAATACTTAGGTAAGAGTAATGTGTATTTAAGAAAAACAGTAGTCATCAGTGTGTACTTTGAATAGTTGAAGAAGTTGTGTTTGAGGAGGTAAAAATTTCCCCTTTATCTTGATGATACTTTTTATTTATCAAACATCATAGCTTATACATTGAAGGTGCTCAATACATAATAAATTGTACATTTTTTTACCTTATGTGTATTTCAGAAGTCCACAAATAAAGGTTCATTAATTATTTTTAGAAAGCAAATTTGGAAAATAGTGAGTTAATAAAGAATTTTTTTGTAAGTTTGTTAGTGAATATAATGAGATTAATTTCTCCTTAATATGAATAACTTAAATTGTCAATTTTGGGGGGTTTTAAATTCCAAAATGCTTCACTTTAGTTGGGGAAAGGGAATTAGCATTATAATTATTCTCCTGTAATAGTCAACGTTAATTAATTAAGCTTTATTTACAGATAATGCTATGCTGTACTTACTCTGCTCTAAAATTACCCAATTCCAAAATGCCTCAACCTTGAATACTAGGTGCTTGTATTCAGATATGTAGGTAACACAAGCACAGAAGATTGATATTTTATCTTATGTAAGAGAGCTGTGTTTTCTTTAAAAATTTATTTTAATATCTTTGATGTATTTTTTGTTTTTAAAATTTTTATGCAAGGAAGAGAAAACACTTAAACTTATTTGCCAGCAAAATTCCTCCATTATATTTCTTTTCTTCTAAAGAAAGAAAATACTGAATTTATTTTTAATCAGACTACTAGCAGGTAGTCTCAGAAATTTGTAACAGAACGGTATATATTTTTACCAGATTGACCTGTGTTCCAGATTTGACTAATTTGAGAGAACACGAAATGTATAATTGAATTTGATTATATTCATAAATAATCTGTTTATATTGCTTTTACATTGAAAACACCAAGTAATTTTTTTATGATTTTTTCCAAGACTCAGTTGACACAAAAAGACCTTAGAGTCAAATCTAGTGGACAGTAATTACTAGATTTGTAGAAGTAGGATTATTTTAAAATCTAAATATAGTATAATTAAAAACATATAGTTTACATGTTTCAAGCCACTCATAGTTGAGGTATCTAAGCAGACAAAGATTCTCAGCTTCAATAATAACTTCTGAGATACTAGTAGTGAATATGCACACTTAAGTTTATTTAACATTATTCCTGATGACCTTGGATTTTATTTATGATTGCATAAGGACAGTTAATACTGAGGGAAATCTTTGGTCTTAGTATAAACTTGGATCTGAGAACTTTTCTGTAGTAACTTGGAATGTCATCTTGTCAGTAGGTGAATAATCATATATAAATTTTGTTTTGCCAGTAAACCATTCCACAGTTTCATTCTGGCTAAACTGCTGCTTTTCTATCTCTTTAGCACATTAAAAAGGAAAAACAAGAATCTGATTTTCTACCTTCACCTGGAGGAACATTTAATATCTCTATCAGTGGGGGTAAGTACCTGTTGGTTTTGATTTTTAACTTTTTTTTTTGTATATATATATATATATATATGTGGGTGTGGTTTTGTTTATAGATATTGTCATGTAAGCATTTTGCCACATTATTAAAGATTCTTATAAAAATTTTTAACTATTCTATAATTTAGTAAGGATGTATTATTTCTCTTATTTTTGAATGTTTAGGTAGTTTCCAGTATTTTCCTAATATAAATACCCTTGTTTATACAGTGATAAACATCTTTGTTATACCTAAAGATTTGTACAGATTATTTAATAAGGCTACGATCCTAGGAGAGGAATTTCTGGCACAGAGGGTTTGATCATTTTTAAGCCTCCTGCTGGATGTTATTGTCCGCATCATAAAAAAGTAATTTTTATGGAACTTGCTTTCCATAAAAGTTGTACCAGTATTCAGTCCCACTCTCCGCTGTTATCTTTTAGCCACACTGGCTGCCTTTCAGTTCCTCACTCCACATTCCTTTCTCCCTGGGACTTTGCATCTAGTATTTCCTTGGCCTTGGAATGCTTTTTCCTTCTTGATGAAGTTAATTCCTGTTTGTCCTTCAGATCACATCTTAGAAGTCTATGTGTTCAGGCAGTTTGTCTTGATCCATCAGACCAGGTCACTATACTGATAGCATCCTATACTTCTCAGCATTTTATAAAATATGTTGGTGTGATTTTTTTTTTAAAATTAAAAATAACAGCATCTATTTTGTCATTTGGTTCAAGAATGTACTTCAGTTTGTTGCTGCTTTACTTGGCATGAAGTCCTGTGAGTAGCAGTTTTGAAGGATATGATTGATTAGCCAGAATTAATTTTATTAATATGCTAAAGACTTTTAATTCTCCCTTTGTTTTCCTTTCCCAAGCTCATCACTGCAGTGGTGATGAAGAACTGGAAAGAGATTGTTGAGTCTTGTGATCTTAAAAATTGGAGAGAGGCTTTAGCTGCAGTATTGACTTATGCTAAAACAGATGAATTTTCAGCCCTTTGTGGTAAGAAATGAGCTTTATATTTAACTACATTATATATATGGCATAATATATTATAAATAAAATTAATGACAGATTTTATTAGAAATTTTTGTAAATCTATCACAAATGAGAAAAAGATGTTGTCATTTGTATGCTTTTCTCAGAATTATTAATGACATTCTTCTCCATACCTACTCATTATTTTGAAAATACAGTTTAGTGATTTTGGTTTCAGACAAACCAGAGTCGAAATCTTGCCTCTCTCACTTACTACCTCAGTTTATTCATCTATAAAATGGTACATAAACAGCTCTCATTTAGTAAATGTTAGCTATGATAAAATGATTGTTATAACATTTTAGTAGAAATTACTATTATAGACAATGACTAAACTGATGGCTATGAAATGAATATTATTTGCAAGAAAACAAGCTAAAGCTGCTAGAATAAGAACGAACAACCATTTGCTACCTTGAAAAAGTGTTAATAAAATATAAAAATTATAAGATATTTAGGGTATTTCATAAATAACTTATAGTAGACCTAGCTATCATTGATAAGTCTCTTCCAAATGTGCCTTTAGGGTTTTTCTGTTCAAATTCTGTTCCCATTTATTATTTTTTTCTAATATAATTAATGGAAATCAGTTCTACAACTAGATATAGAATATTGTGAAATTGTTTATTATAGATAATTTGTCACTCACTTCCATTCATTTAACAAGTATTTACTGAGCATTTAGAGTGATTGTGTTTCTCCCTGCTCCTTATTTGTTGTGAAGTTTAATCCATACCTCTGAAAATATTACTGAGCTGCTCACAACCTAATATACAGATTGCCTTTGGTATAATCTTGTTAACGTTTTTGTCTTGATTTATAGATCTTTTGGGAACCAGGCTTGAAAATGAAGGAGATACCCTCCTGCAGACTCAGGCATGTCTCTGCTATATTTGTGCAGGGAATGTAGAGAAACTAGTTGCATGCTGGACTAAAGCTCAAGATGGAAGCAACCCTTTGTCTCTCCAGGTTAGTATCTGAGACAAAAGGTGCTTAGTTTTTTTTTTTTTTTTTTTGTCTTTTTGTCTTTTTTCGTGACCGGCAACGGATCGCGACCCTCAGTGTTGCGCCCGTACCGGACCGGGACCGGCAACGGGATCGCAACGGGATCGCAACCCTCGGTGTTGCCCCCGCTCCTCGCTCAGCCAGTGAGCCGCCGGTCTGCACGTGGGATCCAAACCCTCGGCGGGAGCGCCGCCGCGCTTCCCAAGCAGCGCACTGTAGCAGTGCGCCACCGGGCCGGCCCAAAAGGTGCTTAGTTTTGAGTGTTGTCTTTCACCCTCCTTATGATCAAGTTATATTCTAGAAATTCATTTGTTGTAGTGTTTGTTGCTTTTGTCCCACTTATTTACATTTTAGAAGTTCTTTTGCTGAATAATTATGTGCATATATTGCTATCTTTGGAGAAGCAAAGTTTGAGATGGTGGGATAGTAAAATGAGGTTGCAGCTGTTTGTAAGTTCAAGGTTGTGATTTGGCAGTTTATTGGGGGAAATAGGTAGCAAGAGCACTGAGTACAGACCTAAGCTTTACCTCTTTTTTTTTTTTTTTTTTTTTTTGTGGGCTTCTCCCTGCCTTCAGTAACCCTGTTTGCCTTGAGCTAGGAAAGAAGCAATATAGGTTAAGGAATATGAGGCATCCCAAGTACCAATAGAGAATCTTCATGGTCGGGGCCGGCCCGGTGGCGCACTGCTACAGTGCGCCCCTTGGGAGCGCGGTGGTGCTTCCGCCAAGGGTTCAGATCCCACATACAGACCGGTTCCCGCTCACTGGCTGAGCGAGGTGTGGGAGCAACACCGAGGGTTGCGATCCTGTTGCCGGTCCCGGTCCGGTACGGGCGCGACACTGAGGGTTGCGATCCGTTGCCGGACACGAAAAAAAGACAAAAAAAAAAAAAGAGAATCTTCATGGTTAAGGGAAAATGAAACTAAGAGGTAAATGGAATCCCATGTAGCACCAGTACACGAGCAAGAGAAGTAAAAAATGTAGAGACTGTTCTCAGGCACTGAGTAATATATGTAGATTTTTTCCTAAGCATTTAATCATCAGAGTCTTAAAATATTTCAGTATAATATTTTTTTTCTCTCTGGAAAGAGATTTTTCTCAGTATGGTCATTGCTTTAAAGATTACCCTATTGAAACTAAAAATCAGATAGGAAATCAGTATTTTTCTTCTAAGTGCTTCTGAGAGAAAAACACTTGTTTCACACTTCTAGATTTGTGTATTTATGAAGGGCAGATAGGTAGGAGATCCTTATGCTTTCTACCTGAAGCATAGCTCTCCATTGTGGAAAGAATTGGTATTGAAGAGCAATGTGAGAAACTTTGAGTTAAAACAGTAAGCCCATTTAGGGGTCACATGCCTTTGTCTATGGGCACCTTATAGTAGTAATATTTTCATGGGATAGATGGTATGATGGTTCCATTCATAATTCCTCCTTTACCTGTTAGAACATCGTTTCTGCCTTCAGACATCTGCTTATCACTTTGACTTTGGATATTTGTGGGCACCTTATAGTAGTAATATTTTCATGGGATAGATGGTATGATGGTTCCATTCATAATTCCTCCTATACCTGTTAGAACATCGTTTCTGCCTTCAGACATCTGCTTATCACTTTGACTTTGGATATTTGCTTATTTTAGCTCACTAGACAAGTATCTGGAAGTTTAAGGATGCTTAGGAGAAGGTAGTAACCTGTGCCCTATCCATGAGTAACAGAGCTTTTTCCTCCTTACTTCTTTTCAGTAACATAAATGGTGGTCAGCCATTCTATAGTTTTCTAAATGGGATGATAATAGGTACTGTATTTTTAGTAGGTTTTGGAAATCTTAGTAACTTGTTATCTTTTCCTGCTTCCTCTCAGACACATGGTCTTGGTATCTCTGTTCCTATCTCACTGTCCCTTCTTTTTTTCATCTAGGATCTGATTGAGAAAGTTGTCATTCTGCGAAAAGCTGTACAACTCACCCAAGCCATGGATACTAATACTGTAGGGGTCCTTTTGGCTGAGAAGATGAGTCAGTATGCCAATTTGTTGGCAGCCCAGGGCAATATTGCTGCAGCCTTGGCTTTTCTTCCTGACAACACCAACCAGGTAATTAGAAGTGACCATTTTTCTTCTTTTTTTCAGTATGTAAGGTGAGGCCAGTAGATAGCACTTGGTATTAGAACTAAACATACTGCTAGGTGGAATGTTTTCGAGCAGTTGAATTTCTGTCTCCTAACTGTAGGTAAATGTTACTGATAATTCAAGGATCATTTTAGGTGTACCCAAGCTATGTCAGAGAAATAGGATGCTCTTATAGTGTAATAGATCCCTTTGTTCCGAGAGACATAGTATTTTAGAGAAATAAATGGGAAAAACCAACTTTTTATTTCCAAAGCCAAATGATGGTTCTTTGTATAAGGTTCTTTGTAGGAATCTTTTATGTTGAAAAGCTATAAATATTAATGCTTAATTGAACAAGTGGAGTTGTTAAAATTTTCAGATTCCCACATATGTCACCCCACATAGTAGCAAAGAAGTTCATTCTATATGCCATTTTAGTCTGAGTATATTTTTTAAGGATTCAGAGCAGGGAGAACTCCATTACATTTCTCATTCATTGTCCTTATTTGGTGTACAATAAAACTCGGGCTTTTTCATGATACTTGTTTCAATTAAATTCAGTTCAACAAGTGACAGAGTATAGAATCATGAGCAAGATTGCCAAGATCCTTGCCCTCAGGAAGGTTTCAAACTCAAGACAGCTATAGACAAATAAACATGGGATTCCGAAAGTGCGACAGATACTGTGATAAAGGTGCTATGGGAACACAAAAGAAGGGGACTAAACCCATCCATGGAGCATGGATGGAAGTAGGGGTAGAGTTTGAGGGAATCTTTCCAGAAGTAGGATATTTATATCTGCATTTTGTATCTGATAGAGCTTGATTTTGAGCCTTGCAGATATTTTCTTGTCTCTATACTTTTTATTATTAACATATTCTGTTTTTGGTGGATTATTTTAATCAGTCATTTTCAGTTTTTTGTTTGTTCTAGGGAATCACCAATAAATTTTATTCAGTAAAAATACATATATTCTCCAGGGCTATAGAGGTGTGACTCTAGTTGGTTTTGTATACACTTAGCTGTAGGATCCATCTCGTATCTTTCTAAATTGTTAATGAGAATATTAGGTAGAATAGAAACAGTCTTTTTCTTTATGGTGATTTTGGCCTATAAGACTTTTTACTTAATAAGGTCTCATTGTTATATTGAGTTATAAGACCCTTTACCTTAAGACTAAGTTAATCTGAGACCTTTAGCTCATCTAGCCTTAGGATTAAACTCTTTATTTTCAGTACCTTTTATAATAACATATTTTCTATACATTATTCTAGATGCTTTTCTTTGTATTTTAAAGAATATTCTTTATACGAAAAAGCATAATTTTGATGTTACTTTCTCCTGTTTATCTCAGTAGACCCTGCATTTTCTGGGGAATATGTCCTGAGACTTTGTGATATCATTGTAGTGTATGATTCTCCCCACAAAAAGGCAATAAAGTATATACCTACAAAGTTTAAATGACCCCTATAAATCTATAACGAATTTATAAAAATGTAATTTGTAAAGATATTAAATTTTTGCCGAAACATTTTAATGCATTGCTTTTTTGTTATTTGTTAAAACCATGAATATATCATGGTCAACTCATACTTTTGTAAATCTATATAATTGTAGACCTGTAAGAGCTACACATCTGAATTTGACATCTTGTTCTTTTAATTTATTTCAAAAGTCTCTTGCTTTTTAAATTAATTTCCATTTTCTTCTTAGATCATCATTTTTTTCCATCACTAGTAGTTTTGGGGGCCTTATAAAGTATTTTTGTAGTTTGTGAGCATTACTTAACCACAAGAAAATACAAAAAGAGCAGTGGTGATAAGTGACATTGATCTTGCATACTAACCATAAGGTGGGCATAATTCAAATCCCTGCCTCAGTTGAATTACATGTTGCACTGTGTGTCATGGACCTTTGGTGCCAGCCTTGAGTATTAGAAATCATGATGTTGAATCCTCAAGTGGCAGGGTGTATTGTATAATACACAGCATGTGAACAAAAAGGAATCTCTTGAATGAGCATATTACTTTAAGAAAATCAACATGCTGTCATAAAGTTGGGTAAACTCTTAACAGTCTGCTTTTTTTTCTTCTATTGCTTCTTATAGCCAAATATTGTGCAGCTTCGTGACAGACTTTGTAGAGCACAAGGAGAGCCTGTACCAGGGCAGGAGTCACCTAAAATTCCTTCTGAGAGGCAGCAGCTGCCCAAGGGCAGGCCTGGACCAATTGCTGGCCACCCACAGATGCCAAGAGTTCAGACTCAATATTATCCTCATGTGAGTGATATGGTCCAGATGGTTCAAACTGATGGTTTTAGTTTGTTGGGCAAGAGACTTTCTCTGATATAGTAAAACTAGACAACACATTGTTTTAATCATTATACTTTCTAGATTCTTGAAAGTGGTACTTATCTACTTTTTGAAATCATCCTTTTAATCTCATCAAAAAGATTATATTTTAGATATGAATTAGTTTTAACCTCTCTAAGGAGATTTGTTTTTATTTCTCTATCACTCAAACTTCCCTTACACGTGTACATCTGTTATTTAAACTTTTATTTGATTCATCTAACAAGCCATAAGTAAAGTAGCAGGAACAATCTTGTTAGTGATTTGGTTAATTTTATAAAATATTTTTAGAAATGGTCTTTCTTGAGTATTCTTTTCTAAATTGTTAGTATAGTTTTACTGTGTTTTCTGTATCTGCACAATAAAGAATATCCAGAATACATATTTTTGGACAACTTGAATATTAGAGAAAAGTGAATGACTGAAGGTTTATGTAGTTGAAGGTCATGAGGAATGTGAAAAGGATTAATAATTTTTATTTAGTTTTATTTATTTATTTATGGTATTTAAATTGCCAAATGTTTAGTGGCATAAAATGTGGCCTATTGTTGTCTTTTAGTGTTTCATGTAAAAACTTTTATATTTTCAGACCAGCAGGTGACATTCATGTCCTTAAAAATATTTTTTTTGTGAGTAATAAATGGTCTTGATTGATAGCAGAGTTAACAGGCACTCTGCCTATTTTAAAATAGAACAAATTGCTGGTAGGATTGACAGGGTCTTTTTACATTTTGTTATAGCAAAAGTAAATATAAAATCATGACAAACTGGAAAAAAAAATCAATTCATGCTCTTTTTTCTGTTGTACTTTTTTTTTTTTTTTGGTGGCTGGCTGCTAGTACAGGGATCCGAACCTGTGACCTTGCTGTTATATGGCTGCACTCTAACCAACTGAGCTAACTGGCCAGCCCTGCTGTACTTTTGAGTGGTACTTAATTGGAATAGATTACATTTAAGTATAACTGTTAACCATCTAGAATACTCTGTTTTGATTATTTTCATTCATTTGACAAATGTTTGGTAAGACTCTACTGTGAGTACCTGTCTAGCTGTTGAAAGTGTATTGGTGAAAACATAGACTAAATTCCCCACCCTCATGGAGATTGTACTAGACTTAGAAAGTCTGTGACAGTTTTGATTATTTTCATTCATTTGACAAATGTTTGGTAAGACTCTACTGTGAGTACCTGTCTAGCTGTTGAAAGTGTATTGGTGAAAAACATAGACTAAATTCCCCACCCTCATGGAGATTGTACTAGACTTAGAAAGTCTGTGACATAGGTGGGGTAGATAAGATGGTGGATAGGAAAACTGAGAGGCAGGGATGTCAAGTGACTCACCAGATTTTAAGACAGAGCTTAGATGTCTCAGCATTGCATGCTGTGGCCAAGTTAGGATTAAAACTCTCAATCACTTGGTGTTAGACCAGGCTGTCTCTCAAGGTAATGAAACAAGGCAAGCTCTATAATATAAGAAGAGAATAGTTTGGGTTTATCTTTATGTCCTTAGTTTTATCTGTCTTTCTGGGAAAAGATAAAAATATTGAAAATTTTTTGTTTTACTTGACTTGTCAATCTCATGTTTTAAAAAAAGAAAAACAAATTGAATCATAAATAAAGCAGTGATTTTCTTGATGAAACCTTATCATATGCTAAGTGGATGAGGACAGTGGCTTGCGGTTTTAAAGCAGTGTTGAAGGAGAGGCCAGATTAGTGGGAGTTCCACTCCCACTTCAACTGTCACAACTTTGCTTTTATTTTATTTTATTTTATATATATATTGGAGTTCCTACAAAGATTTATTTGATGAAAAGATGATGGCTTAAAAAGATTGAAAACCACTGGACTTCAGGGTAAGCAATATGGTATAGTGTAGAAAACACTGGTCTGGTATTCAGGAGACCTCGAATCCCCAGCAAGTTGTATAGACTTTGGCAAGCCCCTTCACATCTCCTGACCTTGTTTTTCTCATTGGTAAAAGGTGGAGATTAGACTGGTTGATCTTTAATATTCAGCTTTAATATTCTCTGATTGTGTGATTTTTCAAGCCTCATATGGGACTAATATGACTTTCTGTGGCCCTAATGAAATCCAGAAAAGCAAGCTTATAGCAATATATTTACGGATTAATAGTAGCATGAATATAATTAATGCTTCAAAAATCACTTTTTTAATTACTTTTCTTCTCCTGGAGTGTTTTCTTCTGATTTTACAGGACCTCATTTTCCTCTGTACTCTTGATGCTTGAATGGCATTGTACTTGTGCTTTGATTTAGGTTTTCATATTGATTTGTCTCTTGCCTCTCTCCCCTATTTTATTGTGACTGTGTTTTTCTTTTGGAATCTTAGCTACCTTGAAAGCAATTGCCTGACTACTGTATGTTATCTTGCTGCTCTTACTTTTTGCTTTGCATCTGGCTGTTAATACCTCTTGGGTTATTTTTCTTCTTTTAACATTTTCATTTTTTATTCTCTGTGATTGGTATTTCTTTGTTCAATTCAGGTTAGAATTGCCCCTACTGTCACTACCTGGAGTAACAAAACTCCTACTGCCCTTCCCAGCCATCCACCTGCAGCCTCTCCCTCTGATACACAGGTATATCCTTCATTATTCCTCTTTGAGCAGGATTCTGCTCACCTAAATATATATACATTATTTATATATTATCTACCTCCCTTCCTCAAGTTCTTCCTCCCCCCAATCCATCTGCCTGCTCATCGTATTTTAATGCTTTTAGGATGCAAGAAGCAGATTTTAGCACAGTTAATTTATTTCCTTATCCCTCCTGTCCTTCTTTTGTAGTTTTAAATTGACTTGAGCTAGAAAAATAGCAATTAAGATTCTAACAGTGTTTTCAAATCTGACTTTACTGAAGATTTTTTCTTTCCTTTTTCTCCCCTTTTTTTAGCATTGCAGAAATGGAAGAGAAACAAAAGTTCCCTTTATGGCATTTATACTTATATTTCCAGAGTGTGGAGTAGTGGATGAAAATTAGTAGAAATGGAAAATCCTGGTGACTTATAAATTTCATTGACACTATTTTATGAGGCTGTTGACATCTTTTCCTATTCATTGCTATTATTACTTTGGACCTATGTGACCTTTAAATCATTCAGAATGTGTTGCTCAGAAAATGTGGTGTTCTAAGGAAGATAGAATGTGCAAAATACAGTGTTTCTTATGCAATAAAGTTTTTTTCTTAGAAAACATAGGATTCCATTTCAGAGATTATAAATCCATATGGTGAGGGTCTTGGTTCCAAAAGTAATCCTCCTTTTTACCATATCCTCATTTCCTAGGGAGAAAATCCTCCACCTCCAGGTTTCATAATGCATGGAAATGTTAATCCAAATGCTGCCACTCAGCTTTCCACATCTCCAGGTCATGTGCACACCCAGGTACCACCTTATCCACAGCCACAGCGTAAGTAGTGTGACCCTGAAGTCCTTTCATAGCAGCATGTCTTATCTAATGTAGTAACTATTTACTTGAAGCCCCAAAGCCATGGTCAAATCAGTTTTAACAAACAGAGTAAGAACTATTCTTCAAAGGACTCCTGAGTCCCTGCTGTAAAGAAACATTATTTTTGTGAAAGCCATCCTGAATCATTATGCTAAGAAGTAACTCCTAAGTTATTCTGTTCAAAATAGTTGTCCCCTGTTCCTGAGCCATTGCTAAGACCTGTTAAAAGAAAGTCAAATATCCCATAATTTTGGTTTAAAGAAATAGACTTTTAGAAATGATTCAGTATGTATTCTTTTCCTTCAGGCAAGATGACACAAACAATTTTTGGAAAAATGATTCCAAGAGGGCATTTGTTGTTGTTGTTTTTCCATTTATTTATTTTAGATAGACTTTATTTAGAGCAGTTTTAGATTCACAGCAAAATTGAGCAGAAAGTACAGAGTTGCTACATATGAACAGCCTCCCCCACTGTCTGCATCCACACCACAGTTAAAATCAATGAACCTCATTGACACCTGCTTATTACCCAAAGTCCATAGCTTATATTAGTGTGCACTCTTGGTGTTGTACATTCTGTGGGTTTTGACAAATGTGTAATGACATATGTTCAACATTGGCATTTGTATTTTTTTTTTTTTTTTTTAGCAAATAGTTGCGCTTGAAAAATAAAAAATCACTACTGTTTCAAAATTTAAATTAACAACAACAAATCTCAAAGGGGAAAATTGTAAGACTAAACAACTATTATGAAACAGGAAGCCATTACCTAGTAAGAACTAATCCTAATGAAGCTGTTCTGTGCTAAAGAGGATGGTCTTACTTAACATGAATACAAATTCGATACAGCCTTTCACTCAGGTGCTGGGTGTGAAAGTGCTATCTTCAGAGTGTTGATAGGAAACAGATACAGTTCTATCAGATTTGCTCTGCAGAGGTTCATATCTACCCCTGGATGCACAGAATGTGGTGGTGTTAAGACCTCCTCAATCTGGGTTCAGGTCTTTGCATTAAAACATTAGTTAGCTACCTTGCCTGATTATTTACTAATCAATTACATACAGTATGTGAAATATTATATAGTACTCGTTTTATTATCAGGGATCATAGAGAGTTGACTGTTAATTTGGAACTGTGCTCACACTCAGCATTTGAGTAGCTAGTGATTTTACTAGATGTTGGAGAAGATACTTGATTCATAACAATAGTGATCACTCTACAGTGAGAGGCCTTGAGCTGCCACCAAACTCCATGTAACTTTTTTTGTAGGGCGGGGGGTGCTTTGGATGTATAATTCCTGTGTGGTTTCATCTGGTGGTTAGTTGGTGTCTGTATTAGTCCATTTGTGTTGCTTATAACAAAATATTTGGAACTGGGTAATTTTTTTTTTTTTTCCCCTTTTTGTCTTTTTTACTGACCGGTAACGGGATCGCAACCCTCGGTGTTGCACCCGTACCGCGCTCAGCCAGTGAGCGGGAACCGGTCTCCACATGGGATCCGAACCCTTGGCGGGAGCACCTCCGCACTCCCAAGCGGCGCACTGAGTGCGCCACCGGGCTGGCCCGGAACTGGGTAATTTTTAAGAAAACAAAATTTATTGCTTACAGTTTCTGAGGCTGGGAAGTCTGAAGTCTAGGGAATACATCTGGTGAGGGTCTTGGTGGTGGCAACATTCACCTAGGGGTCTCATGTGGCAGAAAATGGTGGAACAGGGCCGGCCCAGTGGCGCACTGGAGAGTGCGCCACTTGGGAGCGTGG